GAACCACTGACTCAAAAGGAAAATGATACCATGTTCCAAGGCAATTGCAATGGACACCATACTACTGAGGGGCAAATCTGTGCTATACAGAAAAGTACCAAATGAAGATAGCATCGTTACATCTCTGGGCTACTCAGAACATTTTCCCTGTTTTTTTTCAGGTTTTCAAGAAACTGGCTAAGATAGAAAAATTATTATCTAAATTAAACCAAGAAGAAATCCTTCCTTCACTAAGAGACTGTTAACTTTCATATGCAAATACAGTTAGAGCTTTCTTTCACTTTAAGAATTAAGTGCTAAATTAACAACAAAAAATTAATTGAATGATCAGACATTCAACTCTTTCCTGAAGTTTCAGATCTTTAAGTTTCTCACCACAAATAATTTCTAGTTTCTTAATTCCATCAGTATTTGAGTCAGTATATTTTGTCAGGGCAAAGTTCACTACCAGTACTAATAGTTCCCATGTAATTCTGTTTGTACTGTCTTCCCCAATGCCCAGCAGCCATAGGATCTTTCAGAAACATGAAATTGATTTCAGTTTCAGACTTGGCTCACTAATTCTAGACCTTCCAGAAGAAAATCTTTCTCTGTACATAATCCATTGTCAGTGTCAAGATCAATCAGAAGTGCCAACCTTCAAAGGTGACTCAGAGTTTTGTCTGTTTTTTTATTCCCCAGATATGAAAAATAAAAAATTTCTATATGAGTACAGTTTTAGGAACAATCTAAAAATCACTTCAATAAAAGTGAAACCTCTAGGAATGATGAGACCTTTTCTTAAACTGGTATGTTAAACTGCTTTTTCAAGCATGTGACAACATTTGCCAACCTGAAAATGTTACACTTCATTACTAATGGCTAAATATCCCTTATAGATGAATAAAGGACAATCTGGCTGATTTAAAAGAAGGACATTTGTAATAATTTCTATTGAATGGTATCTTTTGATGTGCTTTGCGAGTCTCCATTCAAGTGTTTCTTTTCATAGTATCAGTAATGAAAGCTTAAACCTAAACTCTGTGGTGTACCCAGACACCATTGACAGAAAAGTGTCTTGAAGTCCAGTCCTCTAGCAAAGCACTAGAATAGTAAGCAAATCTCAAAACTGTGCTCATTCTTCTCAACCACCTTTCACGATGTTTGGGAGAAAAAGAGGATAACATTCAGTCTACCTTTCGGAGTTCTTTTTCTTGCTAAGAGCCTCCTTGTTTCACCAAGTTCATAGATATATATGGGCATAATCTATATAATTAGATATAATAGATATAATGAGATAAAATATACCATGCATACTAACTTCAGAATGTCTGCATCCCAGATACATTTACTTATATTCTCTCGAGTTGAGACAAAATTTTCAGTTGCTTTGACATACACTTTTTCAGAAATTAACTTTATGGCCATAAATCACCTCTGATTACTTTAATAGGGTCATTTCAACTGTGAAGATGTCTTTTTAAGTTCATAAATTTTCTTGATAATTTTATGCCTGTGGCTTGTATATCGTAATTCTGACAATTCATGCACATAGCATTATGTCATAAATTACCACATTTATTTTGGCATGAGTCTCAGTACTCACGAACACTGCCTCTATTATTTAAATATGTAACATATCTGAAATACAAGATTCAATATCCAAAATAAAGGAACACTTAGAGAAAACCTAATGCTCAGACAGAGAAAAAACCCTTGATGCCCAACTCTTTGAAGCATTCTTGAAAGCCCAGTTTAAAAAAAATTCCCCCATCAAGCATTAGATTACGATACCTTATGCAAGATTCCTAATGATACAGAAGTGTTTCACTTAATACTTATCTGGCTATACAGGTCTGAAGAAAAACAAGTAAACAGTAACTTTTACTTTAAAATTAGCCTAGATGGAGACAAAATATGTAATGTTTAAGATAAAATCTATATAACGTGAACTATTAATATTTTGTGTCATATTTTGTGGAAAAGCCATTAGGCTTGATTATAAACCAGATGATACGAAAAATATTATGAACATACCATGCTGCTATTGAACATAATTAGTTTTCAGGCTTTTAAACTTGCACACATTTATGTTTTTACATCTGAGTAGGTCCACTGAAATCAATCATATATGTAAAATAAAATTATATCAATTTATACAGATTATACACCAAATCAAATTATGCGAGATTATACACCAATTGCCTAGCAAATAAAAAAACCTCACCTTCTCCAGCAAAACTAGCCCACTTGATACAAAGTGACCGCGTATTTTTGATATAATAGGCTGCAGCTTAATCATTTCAACCTTTAATTACTGCATCAGATAATGAATATTTTGAACATATGCTTCTCCACTCTGCTAGAAGACATGAATGAAAGAGAAACAAGTTTATATGCGTGCTCCTGTGGGTGTGTGCTGGGGGAGGGAGTCGCACACTGAACGGCAAAAGGAACCAAGTGGCAACAATTGGAGGAGACGGTATCTGTAACAGCTGCTCCTTTCAGATTCCCCTAGAAGGAGACTGCCTGAGGTGGACCACAGCACAAAAGGATAAAGAAGATGAAAACTGATGCAAAGCAGGAAAATAACTGCTGAGACCCCTGAGCCTACACCCGAATAGTCCCAAGCTGTGTGGCAAGACCTCTTTAGCATGCTACAGAAGCTGGTGATGAACTACATATTACCATGAGGCAAACTGGCTCCTAGCAGTATTGTCTGCACGTTATGTGTAATGATAACCACTAGTCCCCTGGGAACAGGATGCAATGATTTCATCTCTGTAAGCATCTGAGCTCCCCTTGGATACAGAGACCATTAAACTGGGAACAGAAGGGTAAATTTTAGGCAATGATTTCTAATTGGAGAGCGAAGACAACTTGTGCTCAACAGTACTGTCAACCACTGATATTTTACTGCTGTCTGTATTGATCACCATTAAGGACAAAAGGAATTAAAATTTTACCTCTTTTTCTTAGTCGCACGACACACACTGTATTTTCTAAATCAAAGTACTTCACAGGTTTCTTATGTAATATTATTGGAAATGCCATTATATTAGGAAATGCCACTATATTATATTATTTACACTGAAATGTATTGGTGCTTTCATTACTCTTAAAATAACATTTTATACCCTTAACATAATGTATCATTTATGTTTTGTACTACAGAGACTTTCTCTTTTAACAAAAATACACATTGCTTTCCTTACCTGTCAGGTGGTTTTGTAAGACTAAAAACAATAGGCACAACCTATTATGTACATATTTTAAATTAATACTAGTACGTTACAAAATTCAAGGTTTCAGAATCTTCCTTAAAAAAATAGTAATTCTGCACATAACAAAAAGAAATGGAACTTCCAAATGATTGCTGTAACTTTTTGGCAGGAGGCATGGGGGAGCAATGAAGGAAAAGGAGTAGCTATAAAACGTAAGCAAAATGGATCCTGAGGAAACAATGCCAGGGCATCTAAAGTTTTTAACGCTTTCAAGGGTATTTTGATCCTTTGTATATCATGGAGACTGTACAGTCTTGCTCATTAATTAATTTCTCCTGTGATGGAGAGCTCAAATATGTACATAGGCTTCTTAATATTTAACACATTTGTTTATCTTGCTGTTCTCCTTCATTCACACAGCTTATTGTTCCTCTCAGAAACTTAACAGAAAAGTTGATCGGATAAGAATGCCAGGACACTTGTCAGTCTAAAACCGATGCAGATAAACTTCATTACAAAAAATTCTAGTCTAATCTGCCATACTGTATTCTTGGAAAAGATCAAATAGCCTCTTCTCACTGCTGTTGCAGCTATTAGATATAATCTTATAAAATTATATGTAGCTTTTTAATTTTGAGCATTTTCAAATTCAGCTGCAGGCTTTGCAACTGACGTGAGAACAGGTTCCCACTTCCCAGCATTCAGTTGATTTATACAGAAGATAGGCCTACCAGCATTGAAGAATTATATATAAAGATGGTCAATAACTTTTGGAAAAATCGTATCACAAATCATTAAAAGCATATAAGAGGGTATTTCAAGACAGAAATCTAGAACCCCTCCTACACTGCAGAAGCCAAGCAAGCAATATTGAAACCCATGCTGAATTCACACTGTGACTTCTCTTTGTCTATTTCTGGAAGAAATAAAACCACAACAAAAAACCACAAAGAATGACCTCCATAACACATGTTCACTAATAAAATACTGAGTCACTGGAGTTAAAGGAACAAAAAGAAATAGAAATAGTAAATATCCAGCTGATTAATTGCAATAATCATTGACAAAATATTCAAATTAATTTTCCAGAGAACATTTTTTAAAAGGAGCATAAAGGACTGTGACTTCTCTGATGACTGGCACAGACAAAACAAGTTGATGCTTATCTTTCCTCCCAAATGACCTGTGATGAACTAGAGGAACTCTCCTTCCACACTAGAATTCCACATGTAGAATTCTCATTGTCTTAGAATTATTATGTATGGGAGGCTCAAGAGAAACATGAGAAGAGGAGCTTGAACTCAAGTATCAACAGGAAGGATTGCATCAGCAGTACAGCTCTTCATACCAAAAGCAATTCATATTTCTTCTAAATTCCTGATGTTCTGAAAGACTCAACATGTGAACTGATGTATTTTTAATTGTTGCTCACAAACATACTATATCAAACTAGTTTGCAAAACTGGTGTTTTATAAAAAAACCTAACTAAATAAAACCTGGTTTATATATGTATGAATACAGGAAAAGGAAAGCTAGTTACATATAACCTGAATTGTCAATTTGTATTACTTCTAGATATCCAAGCATGGAAACCTGGACTCCATCAGTTCTGGAATTTATTGGAACCATAATTGCTTAAGCCACACTGATTCCTGTCTACAGACCTAAATACAATTATAAGAGGTCTATGAGCCAAGTCTCTCCAAGTCTTTCCCACTCTCCAAAATGCCCAAGAAGATACTGAGGAGGCAGAGAAAGACATTGGGAAAGCTAAAGCAACTTTAAAATAAACTTACTGATAATGCTGTCTGTTGTTCTCCAGCAAAATGGTATGCTAAACTTAAGCAATATGCAGCTTCTCCTTCCATCTTCATATCACCTCCTAAAGAAAGGATTAAAGTTACAGTTACCAGAGCATAATCTGAACAAAATTACATTAGTACAGACAGTTCTTGCAGGTTCTTAATTACAGAGATGTTTAAATACTGTAATAAGTTTTTCCTTCTCCTTTCCCTTGCCATTTCTCTTTCCAAAAATGTATAATGATAATTAAAAATAGACACTGTGGATTTAAATGAAGTTCAACAAGAAAGTTCAAAAAAGTCAGAGAAAATATCTTCCAGTAGGTAATGCAACACAAGCAATTTAACATGCTGTAATGTTCTCTGTCATGAATAGTTTAATAATACATTGTCTTCACATTAGAAAATCACAGTAGCCTCTCTGTATATTTTCATATATAAAATAAAAGTAGCTACAAATATATAACAGAACCTAACATATAAACACAAAATCTGTGGACCCATACACTTTGCCAATGTGACTCTTAGTGAAACACCAAGAGAGAACTATCAGTACACCAGGTTCATATTTCGTGTTCTCATGATTATTTTGTAAGCTACTGTAGGCTAGAAGAGCTAAAAAAAAAAAAAAGGGATAACTTATACTTGCAAACAGTCACCATACAAAATTCTGCACAGGCAGTTGCTAACTGAGGTGCATCACACTTTTCCATTCCAGGTTTTATTTCAGTAATACTGATCTAACAAACACTGCTTACTGGTCTTTTTATATTGCTCCCTCAATAGAAAATCACCCATTCAATACTGAAATTTATATAAAATAATTATATAAATGCTTACTGTATCACACTATAATCACAAATTTCCCTCCAGAACATGAGTACGTATAAAAAAATTGTAGGTGAAATAATATTAAAAATAGCCAAAAAATACAGTCTTTCTGTTGCTCAGTATCCATCTGATCAAACACAATAAAGAGTGGAAAATCAACCTGAAGTGTAACTGCATATCAAGATATTTTGTAAAATGCATAATAAATATAGTTGCAATGAAAATGGAGGTTATCTACTTACAAAGAATGTATTAGCCTGACAATTATGTCCAAACACACAGAAGCCTACATCTACTTCTAGAACTCTCTGAATATTATAATTGCTGAGGCCATATCAATGCTCTATCTATAGCACTTAATATGTTATGTAAAATTATGAAAAGCCTGTAACTCAAAAACCTGTTAGTCTTTTCCAATATTCAATACCCCTTAAAAGGCTTAATGGGGCAAAAGGATACAGCAATACAGTTTCACAGAGAAATAATATGTGAAAAGTTGCTAGGGATATAAAAAACTTCCTTCCTCATTTAAGAACAGTCTGAGAATCTGAAGTGGGCAATATCTAATCATAATTCACGTAATATATAAACATAGATGATGGTCCAGAAGGCCAGAATGGATAATACAGATGGCAGCCAGAGCCAGGTTTAACTAAATTGTTAAATATGGGCTTCATAGGTAGAGGCTATGGCTCTGGAATGTGGACTGGAGAACTTGTCTGCAAGAACCTGTAAAGCTTAAATTTAAAGAGAACAATGGCAAGTATAGATTGCATAGGTGATATTTACTACAGGAAGCTATGGGAAGCAATTGATTTGAATTAAGGGCACTGGAACATCTGCCTGGTCAAAGTTTTAGAAAGTCATCAGATCCATTTTGACAATCTCTTCATTCCCATAAGTTTTCACTAGCAAGAGAAGGAAGTTGATGAAACTTCATCGGCAGTCCTTCTAGTTACTGGAGTAAGTGTTAGCAGCAGCAGTTTTACTGTAGCTGTGACTCAAGCATGTCTTCTAGTCAACAGCTGCAGAAAAAGCTAAAAGCTTGTGTTTCATCAACGGATGCAGCTGGAAAAGACGGAGAAGGTTTTGGGTAGACTTGTCCTTCTTCAGCTGATTAACTGAATTGGCATTCCCAGTGTTTGGGTACATCCTCTTGAAAGAAAAGATCTAAACAGGCAACTCACAAAACAGATCTACTAATGTAAACTGCAGATAAAACCAGGATAGGTTATTTAGTGGTTTAATGAAAAGAAAAAGTTAGCCAAATACGATCATATACCCTCACACATGAAACATTTGGAATGGGAAGAATTGAATTCTTGCCCCCAAAGTCCTGTTTGGTTTATTCCCCCAAAATTACCATGTAAAAGCATTTAGATTTAAAGTGGGGTTTTAAAATGTTATTCTTCATGAGATAAGGCAAAATGAGAAATTTTGGTTCTTCAGAATTAATATAACCAAAGACAATATAATAAAAAACCTGAAATAAAGATAATTCACTGACACTTTTTAAAATAAGAAATGGCAAAGTTCACATGGGCTTAGATGCCTGAAAGCTTGTTCATTTTTTCCAAAAGTATCTACTGAAAAATAAAGATATTTCTTTTGAGGAACTTGCCTTGGCTTCATTCAATACATTTTATACTTTTCTATAGATTGCTGTGTTATACTATCTACCTGTATAGTCATACATTTATTTGCGGCAAAACTTATTTTAAAATTCAGAAAATATTTTCAATTTTTTGCCATTTTTGATAGTCTAATTCTGTCTGTCCCAACCACTACTCAAAGACTGGCTAATAGATTAAAGTTGAGCATACATTATTAAATTTAAAAAACTAATGTATCTCGTGATAAATGTTGAATATTATATATTAATTTTATGTGCAATTCATATGCAAAATATGCCCCTTAAGGAATACCATGAAAGGCTCTTGAACTGCTGTACATGGAAAAAGATGATTAGTTGAGACCTTCCTTCTACTTCCGAGAAGCACTCCAGTAATCATCTAGGATAATCATATAGGAAAAGTAAGTCTGTAGAAGTGGAAATTTAACAGCATTTTTTGAAAAAACAAGCATTATTAAGATTTCTGAAAAATCTGGAAAGTTATCTGTATTTTCCTATACTCAAATTGTAAGATTCGCCTTCTCTTTTCTGTTCCCTCTCATGTGTAAGAAATGTTCCAGATCATGGTATTTCTAGCTGATCAACATCTGACTTGACATATAAAATTCAAATGCTATTCTAATTTCCCCCAATTTTAAACCTATTCACATAGGGACAAAGCTTTATGCAGCCATTATCTAGAACAAGGCAGCAATCAGGGGTAGTCAGCATGGATTTAAGGCAGGGAAACTGTGCTTCACCAACCTGATAGCCTTCTAGGACAAGATGACTGGCTCGGTCGATGAAGGGAAAGCAGCGGATGTTGCTTCTCTCAGTTTTGGCAAGGATTCTGACACCATCTCCCATGACATCGCCATACACCAGCTGATAAAGTATGGCTTAGATAAATAGACCAGGAGGTAGACTGAAAACTAGCTGAGCTGCCAGCCTTCACAGGATTGTAAGCAGTAGCATGAAGTCCACCGGCAGGCCAGTCACTAGTGGTGTCACTCCGGGATCAATACTGGCACCAATCTGACTAACAACTTCATTAATGACCTGGGTGGTGTGACCAAGCGTACCCTCAGCATGTTTGCAGGCAATACAAAATTGAGGAGGAACGGTTGATCCACCAGGTAGGTGGTTGTGCTGCCATTCAGAGGGACCTCAGCAGGCTGGAGAGATGAACAGATGGCAGTCGCATGAAGTTCAGGAACAGGAAATGCAAAGTCCTGCCCTTGGGGATGGATAACCCCAGGCGCCAGCCCAGGCTGAGGGCTGACTGGGTGGAAAGGAGCTTGGCAGAGAAGGACCTGCATTTCCTGGTGGACAACAAGTTGCCCATGAGACAGCAATGCACACTCATGGCAAAGGTGACCAACGGGATCCTGGGCTGCATTAGGTAGAGAGTTGGGAGCAGGTTGAGGGAGGTAATCCTTTGCCTCTACTCAGCACTGGTGAGGTCACCCCAGGAGTGCCACATCCCATTCTGGGCTCCCCCATACAAGATAGAGGGATGTAGTGGGGTGAGTCCAGTAAAGGGCTGTGAAGGTGACTAAGGGACTGGGAGAGGCTGAGGGAGATGGGACTGTTCAGAACACAGAAGAGAAGGCTCAGGGGGGATTTAATTAATGTCTACAAGTTTCTGATCGGAGGGTGTAAAGAAGAGCCAGCCAGGCACTTCTCAGTGGTGCTCAGTGACAGGACAAAAGGCAACAGGCACAAAATGAAATACCATCTGCACTCAACAAAATACTTTGTTATCGTGAGGGTATTTGAACAGTGGAAATTGTTTTCCAGAATGGTTATGGAGCCTCCACCTGTGGAGATATTAAAAACTTGACTGAATGTAGTCCCAGGGCAGCCTGCTCTAGCTGTCCCTGATGATCTCCAGAGATCTCCCTTACTACCTCAGCTATTCTGTGATTCTGTACCTTTTTTTACTTCAGGTTTCAAAGTATTTACATGTATTAAGGTATACAGAGGAAATCTTGTTTTCCTATGATAGAAAACTGTTTTTTGCAAGTACCAAATAACAATGTAGAGTGAGAAGGTAGTGATCCAGCAGATAATATCACTCAAAAATTGTCAAATCAGCAGTGACTAGCCAATCAAAATCAGTGAGCTGAGCTTCCATCACTGACCTCAATTCCTGATTATGGGTTCACTGTTTTATTCTATTATTCCCACATGGTTATTTTTTTGGAGATAAAGCGTTCAGAAATCTAAGATTCTTTGTTGTCAGCGAGAAGGCATTTCTGCTTTAATGAGATCTGGAAGTGTATTGATAGTATTTGTCTTTGAATTTCATGGGAAACAATCACCCAGTCAAACATTTGACAATTTCTTGGGAAAATCATGGCATGCACATCAAATAAAAGAATGTGAAAGTGTTATTTTCCACCTACCTTCTTTTGCCATTTTTAAAGCTTTTATTAGCATTTTGATGGCCTGTTGGTGTTGTTTATTTTCTAGCATTTTGTCTGCTAGTAATGTATAAATTCTCCAGAGATGCTCACATGCCAGTGAATTGTAAGTACAGCCTGTCTCATCCTTCCACGTCGAACCCTCTGTTAGCTGATAAAATGCTTCATAATGCTCAGCAGCTTTCATGACTTGACCTGAAAAATGCCATTTACGCTAATTACAATTAGTGTAATCAACAAAATTTTAGAGAGTTATTAGTCTGTAATAATTTTGTTATTAGGAAGTAAGTTGCAGACAATCATTTAACAGATTTTTCAAGAATCTTCGATATATGACTTATAGATCACCAGGAAATACTGCCAAATCTCACAGTTACCAGTAATACCATAATTTAAACTGATCACATTTTAAATTAGCTTTCCTTTGTAGATTCACAATGTTGGGGGTGTGTGATCCCAAGGATACAAAGTCAGAATTTTCTTGAAAATACATCTATTATAGATTCATGAATATAGCCTCTGTGGAATTCATATTTCAAAATCATACCTATGCATAAATAATCACAATTCAAACTGTTCGTCAAGTTTCTTTTTCCATAATGAAAACCTGTGCTGAAAGATTTGGAATGTGGAAAAAGAGAGGTATACAAACTGTGGCAAAAAACCTCTTTATTCAAATAAATTAACTGGTGAAAAAAGAATTATCATGCAAAGTAATTTATTCAACAATTATTACTAGGCCAACTCTGCTGAGTTTATGTAGTAAATTTACTGGAAGAGCATTAACCACTAATAGATTAATTATTGAGCCTGAAGTAATACACTTTAAGGTCTTCAAATGTAACTACTCAAACATCTTTAAGGCAAAGGAAAGTTTGAAAGTTCAATCCATTTAAACATGAAAGTAGTTCCTCCCTCCCCTCTACCTTCAGCTAGATTTATCTCCGTGTACAGATGCAATCTAGATTTCCATGCTTTCTGGACAATGGAAATTCAAAGCCCCTTGAAAGAACAGAAAAGCTTTTCCTTATACATAATGGCTACAGAAAAACTGCTGGGAACCAGGTAAGATGAGACCACTTATACACACACACACAAAAGGCATTCTGGTCACAGTACCTTGTTTTACAAAGAATGTTCTATAGCAGGGAGAACTGCAGATGTGACCCTTCCTTTGTAAGTTTGTGTGTGTGATGGAGAAATCTTGTCCCATAGATCATCAATATATCAATTATTATTTCTATTAAAAGCTAAACAAGCTTAGTTTGTTTCAGATGTGTACACAGTTTGCACCTCTTCTGAAACACGATTCACAAGGAATGATTAGTGCTTTGTGGACCGTTTTTACAGCGCTGCATTCAAATTACAAACAGAACCAGAAAGGAGAAAAGTTATTTCCTGATTGTAGGAAAGGAAGGGAGAGAAGCTTGGAAGGGACCTTCTTTAAGCATTCTGAGAGAAAACAAGGGGAGTTCCCCAGGCCTCCAGCCAACCGAGAGGCAGCAGAACAGCTATGACAGATTCCTCTTATTAACTTAATTTAGATTTGTCTTTTGCATATGTTACCATTTTATAACTATCCCTTCAACTTTGCAATATAAAACATAAATTTAATTCTAATAAAGGTAAGAGTTATTTTCATATTAAGCTTCCCTGATGATTAAAATAAGTTCAACTAAAGTCGACAAGTGCAAGATACACCTCTTTCAAAGAAGCAACTAATTAAATGAGTTTCACAGACAAATCATTTTAAGGGTCTACAAGCTATGATTCACATAAGAGTCCCAGAGGAAACAACAAAAAGTGCTGAAGAGTGAAATGCCAGGCAAAAGGGGAGATAGCAAGCTTTATTCACTTCCACTCTATCTAGGGACAGGTATTAGAGAGATGGCCTGAAATGCTGGAAAAAAATCTTATTGCCAGAGTAGCTATCAGATCCTCTAAACAGACAGGAGAAGATCTATACATTCTTTCCAAAATATCATATACTGGACATCAGACTGAACAAGTAAAAATGCAAAGTGAAATTATCATGACCAGTACAAGCTGTTTAAGGATTCATTGACAGCACACATAACAGGAAACAGATGTAGGCTTGCTAAACTGGATGAAAACTTTTGTCCATTCTAAAGCGGCTTCCAATTTGAGTTTGGGTTTCTGCCTATCCAGTCCAGCTAACTTGTCAGGGCAAGCCCAACTCAGAAATCAACAGAATTCCAGTTATCCAAGTTGCTAAATGCAGATTTAAGATATTAATTGAAGAACTGCTGTTGGCTTTGTGACAAGTGATGGAAAGTTGAGTTGAAATGTAATGTTAATAGTTAGATCTAGCATTTTATCCACTTGGGTATGCATAAGCACAGACTCCTCCTTGGAATTCTCCCCGAAGTTTATTAATCAACTGATTGTCCTTTCAGAAAGGATATTGCTATACATTTAAGTGATTTAGTTTCACTACATGTGTAATAGATTCTTTAGAATAATAGAGTTTGATTCACATGTAACTCAAAAACTTCTAGTAAGAATGGGAAGCAATGAATGAATTAATGGTATCACCTGAATACATAATTTGAATCTGAACACAGTATCCGAGTTTCTCCTAAGACTCTGTAACATAGTCTCTCAATGGGACACATCATTTAAGTAAATAATACATGCAACCTTCAGAACTACTGTTTAGATTGTTAGAACTATCAGGTATGGTAATTCTTACCCAGGCTTCCTCACTTGCAGTATCCCCTTGAGAAAGTTTCTGTCAGACTAGAAATTGAACTCATATATTCCATGTATCCCATAGTTCTTAAGAGTTGACCTAACCATAAGAGCTGTGACCTGACATCCTTTTTGCCAGATCTCAGTGAAGCCTCTTTAGAAACAATCCATCTACATCAAGCTTCAAAATACAAAAGCAATATAATCTTTTTGATAGTATTCAAATGGAACTAAATTACATTTGGCTTCACTGAACTACCAAGAAAGATTATGACATAAAAAGTAATGCAGTCTGCTCACAGAAATACCAAAAAGAAGATGTCGAGCAAAAAAATAAAATACCTGCTAGTTTTCTAAATGAGGGAGAGATGGAGTTTCTGATCTGAAAGCCCTTACATGGCTTGGAATTTGCTTATTGAAGACTCTTTCAAGTAATACTAGCTATTTGGAGACCTCTCATATTCATGGAAGGTAAAACATTTTAGACTTTGGAATTCATTCCTCCATCAAAATAATCTGAAATCCCTAGTTCCCATTGGCAGATGACATATCAGCCTATTTCTTTAATCCATAGTGTTTATGTGAACCTCAAATGTTGTGGAGAAACTCATGTCTTCAGGGGGGTGGCAAGTTTATTCACTGTCACGAGCCAGTTCAGTTGGAACTGATCTGGCCAGTGTATTCCAATTTTTAAACACTGAACTACTGCAACTATTAGGCACAGACATAGGCAGATGCTGTCTGAAAATCTTGAAAAACATTAAAAGAAAGTCAACTACAGGACATTTCTAAGAGGAAGAGTGACATTAAAAGAAAGTAATAAGTCAACTACAGGACATTTCTAAGAGGAAGAGTATTTTTTTCTCACCTGAGTAGTAACAAGGCAAAGATTTAAATGACTTTATTATCAACTGAAAGAAGCAAAAAAAAAAAAAAAAAAAAAAAGAAAAATGAGAGGAAAAACAATGAGCAGGAAAATAACATGGAATGGTTTGTAGAAATGTATCTTTATATCTCTAGGAATTAAAAGAGAAAATCTAGAAGGTGTTTCTAGGAAATCAGTATTTGAAAAACCTATTTGCAAAATGTTACACAAAGCAGTATAGATATTTTCAGTTGGCAACATTAAGTGCAACTACATATTTCTTTTCCCAGTGCCATGCAGACATTAGCTCTGTGTATACTAAATGGAGTTTGAGAATCTCCAATACTTTTTCCCTGTTTATAAAAGGAATCAAAACCCAGAAAATTAACTCTTACAACACCTATACTACCACTACTAAAATGTTATAGTTCAGTGTAGCTCAGGGCATAACAAAAGAAACCATATTAGCAATAGTTTAATCTTAAATACGGAAGGTAAACATCACAATGTAATTTTGGGAGTAAAGAATCAGTTTTAAGCAATTATACAAGACATTACTCTGCCACTAACTGTATCAAATTTTAGGAGTTACTCTTATTTTCATAGCAACTACATACGCATGCACAAAGATTTGTGCTACAGTTTTCACCGAGTTGCTCGGAAGTCAAAAAAAAAAAATCTATTCATTCAAGCAAAAGAACTCAATGTAATTTTGTAAATACTGAAGAGAAACGTTTTTACATTATCTAAAACTTCTTTTATAATTCCCCTTCCTAAAACCCACTCCAAAAGTATACATTTGTTATATCAAAATAGATATCAAACCAGAAGGGGTATATATGGAGACTACTATTTTGCTTTTTTTTTTTTTAAGTAGAAAGATTGACTAGATATTAACACAAATGGGTTTAAATGTGAAGCTGCCATAAAAGCAGGCACATAAATGTAATTCTCCCAGCCGCTATTTTGATGCACATTTTTGATTCCATGAATATTTTATGAAATGGCCCAAACTAAAGCCATATAACATTCCTGCATTACTGATGCTTGCGCCCGTAAGCTACAAACATTAGAGGCATGATTGAGTGCATTAAAATGAACTCATTCAGCAGTGCATTGATTACTTGAAGGAGAAAAAAAAAAAGTTACTCCCACTTAAGAAAACAGCACACAAATCTGAAGTTTTCAATACTGAAATTAAAGATAGCAAATTTGAATAACGTGGTATTTAATAAATAAAGGCAGTGCAAAACTATCTGGAATTCTCTATAAGCAGTCCTGACATTAATTAGGTGAGATGTTAATTAGGTCTACAGATTGCTTCCAGTAGCGTACAGGTAATTTAAAATGTCACAATCTGCAAAATGCAGTGACTGACCTGTTCTAGCTCCATGCCTCAGCAATACTGAGAGCACCTAATGATTTCCTTTTCTATCAGCTCATGCATTTACCAACAAAAATAATGCCACAGAAACAAGTGCAGAAAGAAGTGCCAGGGCTGTTAGGTACATTTCTACAGCAGCACTAGTACAAGTAGAAAGCACATTTCATTCCAAATTGTAAACAGTTGTTGACGACTTTAGAAAATACTCCACTTTAGCTTAAAACAACTTCCTGA